GTGGTGGAGATGAGAGAGTGATGTTGCCATTGCTTTCATGTACCTGGTGTGTACTGATAAGTGTGATGATGCGCATGATGTTTGTTCAATTTCCTCATCAACTACTCACTCAGTAGTAGAAAATAGAATACACATCGCAGATGACAAAACATGTGGTTTTGGGTTTGGAAGAATGACGTTCTCTTGGATATACTGTGTTCGTATGTACAGTGTATGTTAAAGAACACATGCATCTTAACACAAATCTGAGTGTTAACAAATAAATTATTAAATAAAAACCCAAATTTTCTAACACATTTTACATGGATTGTGGGAGAATAGTTTGACTTTGTTTTCGACTCTGTACTTTGTTCTTGTGTGGATCTCTTTACAAAACTTAGCAATTCTAACTTTACGATGTTTCCCCCCCCCCCCCTCCCTAGAGTGGTTAGTGATGCAGATTTCCTGGAGAATGTCATCAAGAAGGTTGTCAGTGGTAAAGAGGTCAATGCAAAAGGTCAAGGGTTATGGGTCACCGTGAAAATGCTTCATGGTGATGTTAATCAGGTAGGCCAGATACATTTTCTATTTCCCAACCATGATATTGGCGGCATAAATGTATCAATTTAAGAACATTTGGAAGAAGTATGAATTTAAGCACTCTGATTTACATAGGAGCCTACTCATACATGCAAATACTGTAGAATACTTTATTTTCGCTTGGAGTTTATTTTCGCTATTTTCGCTGAAGGGATGATTCCGTGAAAATAAAATCCAGCAAATATACTTTTTTTCCTATATTTCACATTAAACTCATCAAAAATGAGTGAAAATAAATTCCAAGCAAAACGCCCAAAAAGCCTTTTCAGCGAAAATTAATTCCAGCGAAAATAAAGTATGCCTCAGTACCCAGAATTTATCTATTTTGCAATGAAATTTACTGCAGGGAAATATAAGGATATTGACTTAAAATTTGGGGCCATCAGACTACTGTAGAATACTTTATTTTCGCTTGGAATTTATTTTCGCCATTTTCGCTGAAGGAATGATTCCGTGAAAATAAAATCCAGTGAATATACTTTTTTTCCTATATTTCACATTAAACTCATCAGAAATCAGTGAAAATAAATTCCATACAAAACGCCCAAAAAGCCTTTTCAGCGAAAATTAATTCCAGCGAAAATAAAGTATTCCACAGTAATTTTTGAGAAAATGATTGTTGTATTTTAGTTGATAGTATTGTAACACTTTTACCATAGGTTCCTATGGCAAGGATAGTATGTCATATCTTAAATTGTAGGCTGTTGATATAGGCTGAAAAAAATATTGGTAATTTTGGGGTACTTATTGTAGTCCTGAATTATTTAAAAAAATTTGGGTTTTAAAAAATGTTGAAAGATGCAATTCAATTGACTTGTTTTTTGATGTAAGCTCTGGATCTATGCCAGTCATGTTAAAGCAACAACTCTGACAGGATTTTTCAACAAATTAGAGCACATCTTACTGGAAGTAACACAAGTTCTGATTGGTTGCAGTTTTGCATTATGTGAATGCAACATGGATAGTTTGTCAGATTCAGTAAAAGACAATGACCACAGTTAAAAACCAATGGCTTCTCTATTTGATTTTAATTAGATTGGAATTAGAGCATGTGTACATATTGTCAGTTCACCATGACAATTGTTAAAAACTATTTAAATTTATACATTTTTAGTTTTTCTTTAGTTATTTATTTATATCTTATTTCCTGCAGATCACCAAGGACTATGCTTATCTTGTTGATCAGAAGACAGCGATTGCAAGAAAGATGGGATTTCCTGAAGTTATAATGCCAGGTAAGACTTGTATTAATGTAGATTTTCGTTTTCAATATTTTTGTTTCTTGTAAATAATGTTCATTCAAAGTAAAAACGTATATGTTCTTTGTATCGTTAATTTTTAGTACTTGTTTATCGTTGACATTGAAATGTGGAATTGTAGAAACAGAAATGCTCATGTTTTTTTTTGTTTTGTTTTTTGCAAAAGCAAAAAAAATAATACTTGGTATACTCACTATGATTACACAAGGATGCTAAAGTAGCTCTAGAAAGTAGTTCCAGTCGTCAGGCTACTTTGTGTTTTATATGGGTCCCACGGAACATGTGCCTTGCATGTAAAAAAATCCTTGTTTATTTGAATACAATTCAACCTTAGGCTCCTTTGCATTTAGTTGTTGTATGTTACGTAAAATAGATTGGATTTATTGAGATATTGGTATTTAAATTCTAGTTGATGTTCGGAACGATATCTATGTCACACTGAACTACGGTGATTTTGACAGAGGAAACAAGAAATCCTACAAAAATGTGGAAGTTAGCGTGATTGTGTGCGACGCTGCAGGAAAACTCATTAAAGTAAGTCATTTTTTTCCTAGATTAATTTTTCCATTTTTTTTAATATAATCAAAACTCAAAATAGATTTTAATGACTTTTAATAAAAATGAAAATTTGGTTACATTTTCAGGATATCATTTGCAAGGGTGCTCCTCAGGAACTGATTGATGAATTTAAATCAACTGTGTACTACCAAGTGAGAGGACCACGATGGTTTGAAACGATCAAGGTAACCTTGTGTTTTGATTTGCATTCTATGAATGAGGTCGGCATAAAAAATTACATGAATGGAAAGTTGGATCTGGGTCTACAAATGATGTACCATGATATGATTACAAATAGAGTAAATGCAAAATATTGTCAATGAATATTGTACAATATACTTGTGAATTACGGTGTGTTGTTGCATTTCAGGTTCAACTGCCAATTGATGTTCCGATCGAACAACTCCATGGAACTCACTTGAAATTCAGCTTTAGACACAGATCATCTAAAGAAGGTATTTATTTTATCCCCACTGTCACGCAAGATGCTTACTTTTCACATTCGTTTATTTTTTAATCATGCTTACATTGCTATGTTGTGTTTTACAGCAAAAGATAAAGATGAGAAAGTTTTTGCAATATCATTCTTGAAGTTACTTCATGAAAATGGCACGTCAGTGGTCAGTGGTACCCATGATTTGCTAGTGTACAAGGTAATGACGCTAATATACCGTTTTTGGGAAAGTAAGAATAGTGACAAAATTTCTGTCATCGGTGACAGTCATAAATTTTCCTTGTGGCATGAGAACTCAATAATATTCAGCCGATGAATATTGAATAATTTTATTATGTGATGACTTTTTAGTTCTCGTTCGGACGCAGTCTGAAAACAGGGACTTATGGATTGACCTCTGTGCATATGAACCTATATCTTAGACATGCCTGGACCGATTGCATCATACATATTATTATACATATGCACATCAATTTGTTTCACGATCTGATTCAAGATTGCCAAATGGTGGCCATTTTTGTGCTGAAAAATTACCAAAATCAAGAATTTATGGA